CCGACACACGGGCCGTCGATCAGCCCGCGGGCGACCTGGCTGCGCAGCTCGGCCGCACAGCGCTCGTCGTCCCACGGCTCCTTGTACGGCCGCCGCGAGGAGAGCGCGTCGTACATGTCCGCCACCGCCACGATGCGGGCCGGCACCGGGATGTCGTCCATCCTGAGCCGGCGCGGATAGCCGCTGCCGTCGCCCCGCTCATGGTGGCCAGCGACCACCTCGCGCATGATGTCGGCCGCCGTATCGCCCTGCAGGCCGAGGTCGGTGACGATGTGCTCGATCAGCTGCTCGCCGATGGCGACATGCTGCTGCATGAGCCGCCACTCGTCGGCATCCAGCTTGCCCGGCTTCAGCAGGATGGCATCAGGGATGCCTACCTTGCCGATGTCGTGCAGCGGGGAGAACAGGTGCATGTACTCGACGACCTCGTCGCTCAAGCCGTAGCGCTCGGCCACGCCCCGGGCGATCAGGCGGGAGTACTTCGCCATGCGCTCCAGGTGCCGGCCGGTCTCCACGTCTCGGATACGGGCCAGCCCCGTCGCGATGTCGACGGCGCCGATCAGGTGGTGCACCGCCGACAGGCGCAGCAGATAGAGCTGCGAAATGATGTCCGCGAACTGGTCCAGCACGCCGCGGATCAGCGGCGTGAAGGCGGCGCGCTCGACGGAGTCGAAGAACAGGAAGGCCGACAGTTCCGCGCCGCGGAAGATGGGCAAGGTGTAGCTGCTGCGAAAGTGGCGTGACTTGAGCCAGTCGGTGTGCGTGGTGGTGGCGTGGAATGTCTCGTCCATGTCGTCCACGACCCGGGGCGAACGCGCGTCTCGCAGCTGCGCGAGCGAGGGCACGTCGGCCAGCGTCGCTTCGTAGCGCTGCAGCGTGGGGCCACCCTCGTTGCTGCTCGCGAAGGTCTTGAGCAGATCGGTGTCCGGGTCGTACAGCGCCAGGGCGATGCGGCCGATGAAGGGGTAGCGGGCCAGCAGGATGCTGTGCAGGCTCTGGATGCGTTCACCCAGGCCGGATCGCTCGATCTCGGCGCGGTTGAGCACCTGTTCCGAAGTTCGCATCTCGCCGCACCTCCCCGGGTTCACGGGATGGTAGAGCGCCTCCGTGGTTCAGGCGCCCTCACCAGCGAGCTTCGATGCCGATACGACAGTTCCGCGGCAATTCTTCCCAACTGAAGAGGCTGGACTGGCTCGCCAGCCGCAGGTCGGTCGCGTTGTCGATGCCTGCACGCAGCGTGAGTTGCGGGCTCAGCACCAGGCTGGCGTGAAGGTTCACCATCGTCAGCCGCGGAACCCGCTGCGGCG